GAGATGGTTTTAAATGAAAAATGTCCATTTGTTCAGAAAGCAGGTTTTCATCCGTATCTTGGTTGTACTGTGATGGCTTTGGCAATCTTCCAATCGCTTGTGGCTGGTTTCAGACCCTCTCCTCATGGACCAAGGTATTTGTAGTGACATTCATCACGGATATTTTTAGGAAATGGGTTGAAAAGATGGGTTTTTTACATTCTGATAATGCAGCTACAAATCTAAATATAGTAAGATCATATGGCATATTTAAAGATCTCTTCATTCTTTGTTAGATTTCTACACTGGTAATTACATCTTTATATTGCTGACTGTTTTTTTTGTAGGAGGCAGCTATTTAATTGGGTTCACTGGAGCACTGGCACAACTGCTAGAATATTAGCTGGTGAGTAGCTGTGATCTTTTCTAGGCATATTAGCACTTCAATGTTTGTAATGTAGGCTTGGGTACCTTGTTGAGGCATTTTAGACTAACATGTTACACATGCAAAGCGCACTGAATTTTAGTTATACAGTCACTGGTCTTAATCGATATTACCATTGTGATCTCATGGGCTAAGTACAGATGATCAAAAAGTCCAAGGCTAAATCAATTCAATCCTTTGCAGGCTAGTCAAAACTGTGTAGACTGAACCAAGAAGCAAGTAAACAGACATTCTGGAAATGCAGCTACATGCCCTCAATGGCTCAGGCTAGAAGCTGGGGGGTGCTAGAGCAGCCCTTCCTTCCCTTCGGCAGTGACCAGAAGGCTGGAGGGAAGCTGGGAGAGGGGTCCTTCAGGCTTCTTCCAGTCCCTTCATAAGGTTGGGGGAGGGCAGGCCCTGGCTGACCTGCTGAGTATGACTAGGGAGGGGGATTTAAACCCCCACCATGGCCTGCAGGGACCTCAGCCAGGGTGTCCCTGGGGGGAGAGGCTTAAAGCCCCCCCTCCTGTTCTGCCTGCCTGACCCCAGGGTCTGGCTCCCCACTTCCTCTGCTCCAATGGCAAGTGGGGCGGGGAAAAGCCTGTCAGAGGCTGCCCCACCCCTAGCAGGCAGACCAGGTTGCAGTGTGGAGCCACGTTTCCCACCTCCACCCCCTTCTCAGCCAGCCAAAGCAGCGATAGTGCTCCAGCTAGGGAGCAGAGGGGTGGGGCCAACCCTGCTCTTGTTAGCAGACAGCCCAGCCCAGGGCTTCAAAGCATCCTGGGATGCTGGGGGGGACTGAGTTAACTTGAACCAGGAAGGGGTCTTGGGCAGAAGTTCCATGAACTGGTTTGACCTAAATCAGTTAAGTTTGATACTACATTCAACCAGGTTTACCTTTAACCAGTTTTGGCCATTTTTTAAAGCAGTTTACGTGCACTGAATTTCTGTTTGGTTACAGGTTTAAAACAGTTTCTGATCACTTAAACTGGTTTATGTGCAACTTCTGTCCCTAGGCATAATCCCTAAAATGGCTTCAATGTAAAAGGTGTATAAATTATACACATCTGACTGCAGTGCATAATAACATTGGTGGGTAGTAACCAAACAAGAAAACCTTTGTTTACTTGGAGGCACAGGTTTAAAACTACATCTCCCTTTTCTCATAGTTTTCAACCTATTCAAGTTGTTAATATGTAACACTGGGCCCTTTCTGTCTGTTTTAAGGACTGTAGTGGTCTATCTCATTTCAGTCTTGTTTGGATACCAGACATCTCTCTCCCATCTTGTTTCTTTTGGGGCAGCCACTGGCATTTCTAAATGCCAAAGAAACTGGGGAGGGGGGAGTTCATTTACTTAATTTTTTTTGTTACCACTATAATAACATTGTATCTATGCCTTCAAACGTTTTAGATCATTTTGAGATGAGGTACTTAATTCTAATCGGTAGAGTCTTTTGGGGTAATTTCATAAGGGGTGGGGGACGCAAAAAGAGCTTG